AGCAAGTCTTCAAAGAGATGGCAGTGATCATCTTACTTGTCTCCTGAGGAACCTACGCAGCAGGAGCTGGGTAAGGGTGAGTCAAGAAGCAGCAGTTAGAACTGAACATGGAACAACTGATTGGTTTAACATTTGAAAACGAGTACAACAAGGCCGTATATTGCTACCTAATTTATTTAACTTATATGCAGAATGTATCATGCAAAATTCCAAGCTGGATGAACTAAAAGTTAGAATTAAGGTTGCAGGGAGAAATAACAATCTGAGATATGCAAGTAATAACACTCTGATGGCAGAAAGTGAAGAATTAAGAAGCTTCTTGATGAGAATGAAAGAGGACAGTATAAAAGCTGTCTTTAAGCTCAACATAAAAAAAAAAATTAAGATCATGACAATTGGTCCCATTACTTCCTGGCAAATAGAGGGAGAAAAAAATGGAAGCAGTGCCAGATTTTGTATTCTTGGGCTGAAAGATCACTGCAGTTAGTGACTTCAGCCAAGAAATTAAAAGACGCTTGCTCCTTGAAAGGAAAACTATGGAAAATCTGGACAGTATACTAAAAAGCAGCATACTAAAGGCATCACCTTGCCAACAAAAGTTTGTATAGTCAAAGCTATAGTTTTTCTAGTAGTAATGTATGGCCATTGAGGGTTGAACTATAATGAAACTGAGCATCACAGAACGTATGCTTTTGAATTGTGGTGCTGAATAAGGTTTTTGAGAGTCCTTACAGGAGATCAAATCAGTCAACTTATACTTAAATAAATTAATTCAGATGATTCATTAGAAGGTCAAATACTGAATTAAAGGATGTCGAGTTTTAGAAATTACCCTGGTCTAGACATTTGCACAAAGATGTCAAGCCAAGTTTTAGACAAACTGAATTCTTAGAAAGGAATTTTCTTCCAACTCGCCAGAGGGATGTCTCTAGAAAGGAGTAGGATCAGGAATAATTTAGCTTCTGAATCTATAAATTGCCATAAACAAAAATTATCAAATACTGAAGCTGAAGCTTAAATACTTTGGCCACATAATGAGAAGATGGGAGACCTTGGAAAAATCATGATGTTGAGAAAGATTGAAGGTAAAAGGAGAAGGAGATAGCAGAGGGTAAGATGGATAGATAGCATCATGGAAGCACTGAACGTGAACTTGGACAGACTTCAGGAAATAATGGAGGATGGAAGGGCCTGGCATTCTATGGTCCATGAGGTCATGAAGAGTAGGACACAACTGAATGACTGAATAACTATAACACTAAACTCTGGTCTCTTCATTAGGAATGCTTGAAAGTCTTATTGAAGAAGGCCTATTTTTCCCCTCAAGGATTATACTCACTTTTTCTGGGTAAGTTATTCTTGATTATGAGCCTATATCTTTGCCTTTTGGAATACTATAATCCTTGCTTTTCTCCTCTTTAAAGTGGTAGCTGCTAAACTTTGTGTGAGCCTGACTATGGTTCCTCAATTATTGAACATTTTCTTTCTGGCAGCTTGAAGTGTTTTTTCTTTGACCTGAAAACTCTGGATTTTGGCTATGATGTTGCTGGGAGTTTTCATTTTAGGATTTTTTGTTTTTTGAGAAGATGACTGGTGTATTCTATTTTCATTCTGCCTCCCTCCTAATTCTTATCTATCCCTTATCCCTCATTTCTAATAGATATGGGCAATTCTCTTTCACTGAAATATGTCGATTATTTTTTTTTTGCCTTAGCTTTCAGGTAGTCCAACCATTCTTAAATTATTTCTCCTTGATCTGTTTTCCAGGTCAGTTGGTTTTTATATGGGATCCCTTACACTGTCTTCATTTTTTTTTCAATTTCCTAACTCTATTTTTTAAATTTCTTATTTTCTCATGGAGATATTTACTTCTGTTTGGACCATTCCAATTTTCATGGAATCTGTTACTTGGTTAAGGTTTTCTATCTCTTATGCCAGGCTATTATTATCTTTTAAAACTCTCCTCCATATATCTCATTTCTTTTCCAATTTACTTCTCTAGTGCTCTCATTTCAATTGTAAAATCATTTTAAAATTCCTATGTCATTTTTTTAGGACTTCTAATTGATCTTTTGAACAAGCTGTGTTCTTCCAGGCTTTGCTTGTATGTGTTTTGGAGTTATTCTCTTCTTCTGGGTTTCGGTCCTGGGCATCTCTAGAATCTTAATAACTCTTTTTCCTTTATTCATTCTTCTAGCCTCACCTCCCAGATTTGGGCCTTTGCTCTCTCTATTGGGTTATGCTAGACTCTATCTACTTCTTTTCAGTCTGTTGTAATCCTGAATGAACGTTGCTTGTCTTGGCCTGTCTTATGGTGCATCCTGCTGCTGAAGTCCAAGCAATAGCACTCTGTTTCTGTGCTGCTCCACAGGTATGACTGAGACAAGAACCCCTCTCCTGGGTTAGAATGACAGTACATTGACCCTATTCTACACCAGACATCTGACTCTTAGATGCTTTTTCTTGGGGTAGAGCAACAGGTGTTGGACCCTGGGCTCAGTAGCTGAATCTCAGATAGCCTTTCTTTGGTCTGAGAGACAGATTTGTAGACCTCTTTCTTTATATGGCAGCCGAGAGTCCAAAATCTCAATCCCCTCTCTACGATTAGAAAGAAAATAGTGTGATCCTGTTTCACTCCTCATTCTAGCTTTGTGATTCTGGCCCACCTTGTTCCATAGTACCTGGCCTAGGCCCTTATTTGCAAGTTGAATTATGAAAGATGACACACTTTGTTTCCTTTTTAGATTTCTGATCACTACTTGTTTTAGCACTCTTTTGAAATTTTTGTTGGAATAGTTGTTGAGGGAACTAAGCTATACTATTTCCTACACTTTGATATCCTGACTTGTCTCTGCTACTACTGCTTCCTTATAGAATCTTTAAACTAATTTCTCATATCAAGTTGCATCTATTCTTGGCTCCCAGCGCAGACACTGTATCAGCTGTTCTTGAAGCACTGCTAGGAGTAGGATGCTAATGAAAAAGTCTACTACTTGTAGGCCTATTTCCAAAGATGATTAGGGGAAAAAGGAAAAGGACCTATGTGTTCTAAAATGTATATAGTAGGGCTCTTTGTGGTGGCAAAGAACTGGAAATTGCAGGGATGCTCATCAGTTGGGGAATGCCTGAACAAGCTGTGGTATATGATTGTGGTGGAGTCCTACTGTACTATAAGAAATGACGAGCTTGATGATCTTTGAAAAACATGGAAAGACTTACACAAAATAATGAAGAGTGAAATGAGCAGAACCAATAGAACATTGTATACAGTAACAGCAATATTGTTTTAAGAACAACTTTGAACAAATAAGTTATTTTGACTATTATAAATTTCCAAATTAGCTAGAAGGGACATACAAAGAAAGACATTATCTGCATCCAGAGAAAGAATTGATAAATAGAAGGATGTGTAGAATAATTTTACATATATATACCTATTTGTGTCTAATGGTAGCCATCTCTAGGGTGGGTGAGGGGAAGGGAAGAAAATGTAAAAAGAAATTTGCATAATAACTTTGTTGTATATTTAAAAGGAATAGCAAGTTGTACATAGTAGATTTGCAGTTTCATGTGCAATTATCTTTTTTATTATACCATGCTATGGAAATGCTTGTTTTATTCCATAAATTAAAAATAAATAAATCTTTTAAAAAAAGAAAAAGTCTAATTCTATGGTGCTGTGATGTTCACAAGGTACTCTGTTGGCAAAGGGAGGAGGAAGGAAACCAAAACTGAGATCCAGGCCCTGTATTCTTCTTTTAGCCCTAAACACACACACACACACACACACACACACACACACACACACACATACACACACACACACACACGCGCACACACACACACACACACACTTACTAACTACTTCTCAGGGGCTTAGCCGGAGCTACAGTCTCTCCTGGCTTAAATTTCTGGGCTTAAATCTCTTAGTTCTAGAACTGGCTCAATATTTTACACGTGGCCATCAAGGCATGACCAGATTTCCTCAGCACATCAGAGCATGCCTCTTGTGCAAAGTGATTCCAGTGACTTTCAAATCCAATGACTTTCAAAGACTTCACATTTAGTCTAACATCTTACATTGTTGATTTTTTAATTAAGGTATCTTCTCATCTGTTTCAGGTATTTGTGTATGGGTGTTGTATCTTATCACTTTCTTTAGGTGGAGTGGGCTATTTTTCTAGACTGCCTCACCCTTCCACGTACAACTTTTCAAGATCATAACTGTTAAGTGTAATTAAGTAATGGATACTGCCCAATGAAAGACCAATTCTTATGAGTATGTGCAGCATGCTCAGCTTGAAGCAATACCCCACGGGAATTATGAGACGTGCTCAAATATTCTGAGATGTTTCCCCCACTGGCCTATGGTGAGAAAAGGACCTTTTTGATTGGCTACTGAGTCAGGACAGAGTATAAATACAAAAGACTTCAGGGGAATAACTCAAGTCTCTTTTTTTTTACTAGATGCAATCCAAAGGAAGCTGGAAAAAATGACCAAGTTGTTCCCATCAGAGTATTCTGTATGCACTCCTATTTTCAGTTCAACAGTTAAATTAAAACTCCATTATTCACATGTCACATTCAGACTATGTCTGCTATATGCTGAGCATATGTAGATTATATGTCATCATGAAATTCCAGCCCAGGCTCACCAAGCCTCCCCATATGCTTTGGCAGCAGGCAGAACACACTGTGCATATTCTGAGGATGGAGCCCCAGTAGGCCCATCCCCCATTACATACACACAGCTGCATTTTCTACACCCAAAATCATGAACATCATTTTAGTCAAAACAGAGATAACACCACAAATTTCTTTCAAAGATTCATGAAATTTCTATCAGATAAAATTTTCATTGTTTTTCAATATGACCAATATTCAAACAATCATCCATGGGTAAGATTCTCTTTTCCAATGATCCTTTTGAGTCCCCACCCCAGAATTCTCTAGTCCCTGCAGTCTCTTGGAAATGCAGATATATGCTTAAATACACTTACTGTTTTCTTTAGCACTTTGAGAGCATAAGGCTTCTGTGTCCCTTTCTGGATACATCTGTACACAACCGACGTAGCACCCCTTAAGGAAAGAGGAAGGATAAATAGAAAAAAAACTGTGAATTTTTTGATAGTGTACTGCATCATTAAAAAAATTTTGAACACATACTCCCAATATGTGTATTACTTATTTGTAAGTTACATATGTGTAAGTTACATAGCACTACTGTGATAATAATTATGTTCATTTTAAGGTAAACCAAAAAATGAAAATTAAAAAGAAATGTGATGAAGGTTAAATAACATTTTATTCCAGAGCCCAAAAGGGAACCTTCAGAGTTTATTTAATCGACATTATTAGACCAGAGTTTCATGCACTCAAAATGGTTTCACCCATGTTGGTGAAGGTGCTTGGGACCTGCTTCAGGGAGACAAGAGAACTGGTACATACTTGTTCATCCATCCTGTGTTGGCCTACCATGTAGATGGAAGCAGCCTTCTTCCATTGGCTGCATAGTATGAACTGTCTTTGCCTTTAAATCTACCAGAGTAAGCTCAGTCACATTCCAGTATTCATATACAGAGATGAAGTTCATTCCCTCTGAGCAGATGACACCATACAGTAAGGGGAGAAGAGGCTGAGGGCCACCTCCCCTCTACAATCAGGCCATTGGCCCCATGAAATGATCTTAGGGCTTTGTTATATTTTGTTTGTCCTTCTCAGTTCTAGGTGCATGGAGTGGTGTCCTTGACCTGGGTGTTCAAGCCATGGGGATCTTGGAGCCCAGGATTCCAGGTCAGATGTTGCAGCCAGCCCAGAAGAGAAGCCTTGAAAAGCAACGGCTTGGAACACCAATCAAAGTATGACTTTAGACTTGAACTTGGTGAGCCTAATGCAAAGTAGGAATTGAGTTAAGCTTGTGAACCTAATTCCTCCCCCTGGGCAGCAGCTATGAGAAGATGCCTCAGAGGCCTTAAGGGGAAATGTTCGTATGTTTGTTCTTGCTATATCTTTGAAATAAATGCTCCTTTGCAAAAACTAATCCAATGCTAAGTGGTTAAATGGAAGTGGGATGCAAGTCACTGAGCCCCTAAAATTGGGGAAGCACAAATCATTAGGGATTCTGGACAACGGCAAAAATGAGAGAAACCGCAACTCCCTCAGGATATTGAAGAAACCTGGGAGAGATGAGAAATGTAAAAGACTTGATCCTGAGTGAGGCCAAAACAAATTCATGTTATCCAACCAAGTCAGGGTGTTGTCACCAACACCAAAGGAATGTTGGCAGTAGAAAAGAAAGACTCCTCAAAGACACTATCCAAAAAACTAATGGAAAGGGGTGGGTGGAGAGGGGCGGGAAGCAGGGGATGGGAGGAGCTAGACACTCAGAAGGAGAGTAGGGAATTCACCCACCTGAAATCCATACCTTCATTAATAAATACCAACAGAACATAGATGAACCTAGGGCATGTTGTATGTCCTACCTCTACATCCATGGGGTAGAACACAGTGCTTAATAGCAGGGAAATTAAACAGCTGCCCAATCCTGAGCAAATGCCTTTAGATGCTGATTCCCTGAAAATTCAGCATTACTAACTAGCATAACTATAGGGCACCCTCCTGTCTCTTCTTAGGCAGGTTACAAATGTAGGAAAGGCCTTAGTTGCACTTGAATGCAACACCAGCCACATCCAAAGTCTATACTCAGCTCAGCCCAATCACTCTTATCACGAAGGAAGCCTCCACCCACAGGCCACAGTGGGGAGAAAGGAGGTAGGGAGAGCTACAAGCAACAGGGCCATACCCTGTTTCCTTTTGACCGGTAATTTGGGGGCCTAGATGTCCCCTCTTGGCTGATATCAGGCAAATCCAAAAGAGCTGAAAGTTAACTTCACTAACAGAAAAAAGGTCATACCTAGTGCTCTTCTCATTCTGAAGAGATGACCAACCTCCAACCCCACAGGTTAGGGACTCAGCTGAGGTACTGTGCATGTGACATTTTCCTATGTGGTGGGTCAGATGATGCCCTGGCCAAAAAGGGTGGAGGAGATAGACGTGAGTTTTAAGGACGTATCTTCTCCCCAGAAAATGTAACCTTAGAAATCAAAGAAATAGAACTACAGGGCAACGTAAATGAACGTAGCCCCTCGAGTTATATTTTACTCAACAACAGGATGATTCTATCCAGAAGGAGGGCTCCACTACTTTAGAGATCTCCAGCACTAAGGTATTCTGATAAGACTAACCTCAGAGAAAGCTGTTTTCCCACTGGAACACCTGATCTTTGGCATAACATGTTTGCTCTTTCAGGTTAACATTGTTATGGGATTTTTTTTATTTCCTTTTATTATTTGGCACTTGGGCCATTCATCCCACAAATTTTAGTTAATATTAACTTCAAATGATCAAAATCTATCCTGTGGCATGTGAAATTTTACTTAGAACCTTAAACATTCTTTAGATAAGAAGTCAGAGGAAGAATTACTATTGTCCTTGACTTCTTGGAGACGTGTAAATTCTCCTCCTCAATCAGCCCATTTGTGAACCCTCTAAACATAGTTTAGATAGACTTAATTTACCTACAGAGTTTATTTGGGGTTTGTTTTTTTAAGGGATGTACGAGATTATGACTGACTCTATTTAACTAAATTTATTCAACTTTTATGACACTGAAGGAAGAATAGGATTATGGACCTATCTTCTCTTTAACTTTTATGCCCTAAGAGGAACATGCAAAATTGTAATATGTAAATTAATTATTTCTCTGTTACTCTGACATAATTTTGCCTATAACAAGCCTGGTCGGAATCCTCATGGTTGTTGAGGCTTTCTCTGAGGCCTGAACCTATGCTTGAGTATAATAATAAAAACTAGGTTTTAACATCCATAATTTATGCACTGTGGAATATATGTATATATGTGTGTATATATATATATATATATTTCCAGCAGTCACCCACCACATTACTCAGAGAACAGATATTTCTTCCATAACAACATCCTGTCCCAATTACCTAACATCCTCCAAATCACCTAACATTCTGTCCCTATTATCCATCCTCCCAAATAAGGAAAGTGCCTGAGCAGCTTCACCTGTTAGGCTCATTTTGCCATCCATAATGTCATCCTAAGGCTGTGTAAAACCTTATATATGTGTGTATGTATCTCCCTTTGCTTCCTACCTGGCAATCGCCCATCAGCTGCTGCGGTTAGTTAAACTTTTTATCTTTTAGCCTTGCCTCTTAATTTATTGACCTACCATCAAACTGACACCAAGGTGGAGTAATTACTGTCTGGAAGGATCCTAGCACCTTTGGGTTGAGGAATTCCTCAACAAAATTCACCACTTCTATACCCATTTGAGCAATAAGAGCTAGGCAGTGGCCTCATACAGTCACCTCACATCTGTGAAGAGAATAAGCATCCGGCTGAGCAACTGTTAGTACCATCAAATTTGCCAAAGCTGGAGGAAAAGAGAGGGTCCAAATTTTCATTGACTTCAGGACAAGGGGCTAACAGTTTTGCCTTCTGCTCTGGCATTTGAGATAAAAAGTAACTTTATAGTAAGGAGAAGAGCTTTGAAGTTTCCTTAACACTAAAGACTTTGCAATTTCATCTACACTCAAAGTTAACCCTTCTTTCTTAGGTTTACAGGGTCTGGCTCAAAGAACCCTGAAGGTTTTTTTGTTCATCTCTGCTTATTTACTTTTACTGCAAGTGGCTTAGGAGAGCAGTTTACTAACACCAATGAAGAACTGCTGAGAAAAATCACACTATCCCTTTAATCTTCTACAAAGATGCCAGCATCAAACAGGAGCAGTCTCCAACAAAGTCACTAGGGATCACCCACACCCCGCACTTCCATTGTTACCATTACCCAACTTAACACTGAGACTGCTAGGACAATGACACCATGATACCATAACTCATCAATTGGCAGAGGTGGGAGTGTGTGTGGGAGAAGGGGGGAATGTGGGTGTGGGTGTGTCTCATATATAAGGTTCCTGGGTCAATAGGAGGGAAAGTTAGCAGGCATATAGAACCCCTAAAGAATTGAACACAAACCTTCAGTAATATCACAATAAAGATGTCATCTCTGAGTCTCTTTCATCCCTTATATCCAATTTGTTGTCAGATCTTGTCAACCAATCATTAAATCAACATACTTTTATTAAGTGCCAGTGACAGGCACTGTGCTTTGTACTATGGGGACAAATTTAAATAAATATGGAAATAATTCTTCTCCTCAAAGAACTTACATTCTACCTCTATAACATCTCTCATATCTGTCCCCTTCTCTCCACTCACATCAATGATTTCATGCTTTATCACCTCTCTCCTGGACTGTTGCACTAACCTCATTCATTCATTCATTTAATAAGCATTTGTTAATTGATCTCCTTGCCTCCAGTCTCTTCATTCTTCAATCAGTCCTTCACACCAAATCAATATCCCTAAAGCATATCCCTAAAGCACTTGTTCAAAAAGTCCAGTAGTCCTCTATTGGTTGCAGGATAAAATACAAATTCTCCTTTAGCTTTTAAAGACCTTTACAATATGATTCCAGCCTATCTTTCAAGTCTTATTACATTATTGTTGTTGTTATTATTATTTGCCCACACTAAATTCCAGCCAATTTTTTGAAACTACCATATGGCTGCCATGAAAAGAGCTAATGTAAATACTTTTTTTAACACATAGATCCTCTCTCTCTCTCTCTCTCTTTGTCTCTCTCTCTCTTTGTCTCTCTCTCTCATAGGCCTAATAGAAGTATAACTGAGTCAAAGGGAATATACAGTTTGATAACTTTCTGGACTTAGTTCCAAACTGCTTTCTAGAAAAACTGGACCAATTCCCAGCTCCACCAACAGTTTCTGATAAGGTGCCAATGTGCATTAGTAGGCATTGATAGTTTCCCATCCAGGAATTCCCTATATCAATGAAACCACATGTCCAGGCCCCATCTCGTGGTTTGGGGAAAGTGGAGTGGGCTTAATAAACTTAAACAGAATAATATCTCAGACATAACTTAAACAAAAGAAAAATATTAACTTAATAACATTAGGCTAAATTCTAGACCC